TACTCAGTGGAATCCCAGAATTATGTACTTCTCACTGGCGGCAGCAGTACTTGAAGAAAAAAGACCTTTCAGGTGCTATGAAGAAAACACAGAAACTGATATTGTAGAAATTAACAACAAAAGGTAGTGCAGAAGCTCACAACTACTGCTTTCAGGATTAACAGTGACAGCCATGGATCTGGGACAGTGGGTCTATGACGGGAAGGTTGATGATCCGTCTACAGTAACTGGGAGCATTTCTCCTGGATTTCATAGCCAGTGGGCTCTCCCAATCCTATCAGAGATACCACAGGCTGAACCTGGGATCTCATAAATACAAAGCGAGTGTGAGGACTGGAGGGACCAAGGTTACATGCAAAGAAGGTGAGGACAGGCCATTACAATGACAATGCACAGATGTCAACACCCCTTTCACTGAGAAATGACTGGCTCTCACTCATTTAGGAAGCACAGAAGGAAAAAGAGATGTACTGTAACATTTGAACCTGGAATATATAAGGTTTGACACTTAGAGTTGTAGTATGTGGTAATTTATGAGTATTTATGGAAACCATCTCCTGATGGTAAAAATGACTGTGTGCACAGATTCTCCGAGTCAGCTAAGTGGCAGCATCTGGCTGACCGTGGCAAACCTCAGAAAGCTAGGAAGATTTGGATTTGGCTAGTATTTGGCTGGGAAACCCCTAGGAAATACCATTTGGTCTACATTGGGAAGTAAAAAAACAAAACAAAAAAACCTTGGAAGAAAGCAGTGATGAATCACAGCCGTTGCTGTTGCCAAGAAAGCTGTATGGGCTTTTCAATGACATCATCAGGAGTCAAGCTGGACTTCAAGGAGACTTTAGTTTACAGGCTCTCAGGCAGCTTTAGCAACTACTACACCTGTATGTCAATTTGCTGAAAGCTATGGCTGCCAGTGATTTTATGGTTCATATATCACAAGGGTTGCTTGGCCATTACAAGTGCAGTTCTCAGAAATAAAAGGTGTCAATAACTGCCCTTTATACAATAAGAGAGATAGTGGAATTGCATTTCCAGCTGCAACTGCAACTGAAGGCTGGTGTAACACCATCAGTGATCAGCCACTTTTGAGTGTACAGTGCAAGCCTGGCATTAGCCCAAGACCACACTTTGGTCTGCAGATGTACATGACGAAGTAAATGTTGGTTTAGTCCCACATCTCTGTTTTGGTGTACTGTGCACTCCTTTACTATTTTAACTTAGTACATGCACTGGACATATCCATGCTTTGATGTGTCTGATGTATGCCGATATCCACAAATACAGAGCACAAACACTTCTTTATTATAAACATTCTCCCGAGAGTTGACAGAGAAATGTTACCTATTTCCCTTCAGAATGAAACACCCACGAAAACTGCAAGATGATTTTTCAGAGCTCAGAAAGAGAGAGAAGATTTGGGGTTAAATATAGCACTGGGACTTCTAAACTATCTCCAAATTTTATATTTCTCTTGAGTTTATGTTCCTCTTTTATTCAAGCACAGGATGAGAATTGTCATCATAAGGTATTAATTCTCCTGTTGCTTCCTGCCCCTTCCCAAAATGAAACGCATGTATATCCAGTAAAGACTATACTAGAGTAAGAACATGAGGCCTCTTTGCTTTTTCATCAATAGCAATTACTTGATGAAGAGTGTCTATTTTCTTCTCATACTTTACTATTAGCAAAAAGGTCCTTCTGTGATCTGCCAGAAGTGCTTCTATGGCAACAAAAAGCATTCAAGTACTGCTATTGTTCTGTGTCAATTTATCATTAAAAGCCTCTATTATATTTTTGGGAGCTGGGTGAAAGATGGTACATTAAGAATAAATAAAAGTTGAGAAAGCAACATTTCCCTCCCCCAAAAAAGCAGCAGCAAAAAAGAGAAAATAGACACACAAGGAAACTCCACTGAAGTTGAAAAAACACACTGAGACAACTGTTTACAGTTTTGAGGCAGGACAGCATATTTATTCTACTCATAATTTCTCTTCCATTGCCAAATTGTTATCTACCAGGCCACCCATATCAGATAGGTATCCATAAAGACAGTATCAGCCCTCTTCTCCTGAGTTTTTATATGTTTTGGGTTTGACAGAGGACTTGAAGAGCTGGAAGTTAAGGTATTAAAAGTAGCCTTCCCCAACCCAGTGTTTTCCAGGTGAGGGGGACATCAATACCCTTATTTCCCTAGCCAACATGGTCAAATTTGAAATCAGGTTGGGAAAGCTAGAGGAAGGAGAAGCTATCAGCTCCAGTTTTAGAACCACTCCATGCCTTGTAAATGTGGCATGTAAATGTTTACTAACAGCAATACTGTAAAACAACCAATGTATCAACATCAGTTATGAGTTACTGTTGTTTCATTATTATGTCACATACACAAATTTTGGTTTTATGCCCTCTGCCTTGTTTTCATTAACAAGATGGCTTATTTGCACAACATACCTAACTGGGTCAAGAATAGGATGGATGTGGTGTGTGGACTTGAAAACTCAGTCAGCACCGGGTTAGAAAAGAGTCCGTTTTTATCTAACTCTAACCCCAGATTTAACCCCAAACAATTTAACCTCCCTGGTCAGCTGGGTACTCCAAACATCAGAAGATTTAACATATGGTTGAACTTATTTTCTGGCCACCAAATACTAAAACATGAGCCTTGAACAGTCCAGCAACAGCAGATAAACAATGGGGGCTTCTCTAGGCATTTAGTCTCTGTTGCTTTTTTGTTTTCAGCCCCTCTCTAAAATTTCTATGGCAAATCCAATCCTGATTTGGCCACTACAGATTTTTCTTTTAGTTTCTTCTAATCTGAAATATCAAGCACTATATTCTGCAAATGAGCCTAGGATACTAGTGAAAATGCTACCTCTTGATTTAACTGGGGTAGTTTTGCTTTTTCCTGATCATTTGCTGCTGCTTCATTGTGTGAACCATTTCTCTAGGAGTAGCAGCATAACAAGTTAGCCTTGCTATGCAAACCTAACTTATATGTCTTTGAGAAATTATTGTCAGATTTTCTTAAAAAAACTGGAAAAGGAGTAGTGGGCCAGCTACACCAAAGACTTGCAGTTTTGAGAATGGATTTGAAGAAATGAATGTCTGACTTAACAATAGTGGACAAGCAGATGCTTTAATAAACCTGGCACAAGTTAGATAAGAAATTACAGAATGAAGTTGATGGCATCAGCACAGTGTATCATAGAAGCATCAGCTATGCTCATTTGCACTTTCAAGAAAGTAACAATATGAAATGATAAATATGTACAATACACTGTTTCAACGGAATTTGTTTCAAGCTCAGAATCCTGAAAAATAAATGTCTTATTTATGTCCAGGAAGATTCTGTCAAATGTGAAAGTGTCTTCTCTTTCAATTTCTTACTGAACTTAAGGAGAACTTGTTCCTCTTTTCAGGTACAAGACAATTCCATCTGATGAGGTGATGTGAAGATCAAGGCATATTTCAACATTCATGTGAAGATGTATAATTTTTCCAATACTTTCAATATTCACGTTGGAATAACTTCTGAGATGCACAGTGCTATGAAATGAAGCCCAGTCTCTAGTTCTACAAACACGGGATAGCAACTGAGAATTGGAAAGCGCTTCTTTAACAGAAGGTTCAAAAACTGGAAATTGATTCACAAAGGTATCAAAAGTATTCCATAGGGGTTGAAAATGGATGACTTATGTTCAAGATACTTACAAACAGGGCTTATTTTCTAGCAGTTGAAATATATTTAAGCATTGTCCCTTAAAATAGTTTCAAGTAGGAGCAATCTAAGTCAGGTATGTACCCAAGCGGATACAGGTAGCGTTTTCCATTTGCCCAGAGAAAGCAACAAGTAGAATATTAGCAAAGTTCTCCAAAGCCAGGATCAGAAAAAGAATTTTAGGAGTTTATTCAAGCCTATCTCAAAATCAGAAGTGAATTTTAACAAAATCCCGTTCAATGGTTAAAGTAGAAATCCTGGAGAAGTAGTATTGGCCTTCCCTTTGAACTATAGTTACAGCTACCTATCTTAGGAACCTGCAAGAGACTATCTGAAAGACAACACTTCCACCCTCCCAATCATTCTTAAGCTCTTCTTTTGTACACTCTTCATTTTCTTCCATTAAAAATAACAGAGTTGTCAGGAGATCATTATAAAAGACAACTCCATTACTAAATGCTAGCTTTCCCAAAAAAGGGATGCTAATGGAAACATGTACTTATGAATTTTTAGCTCTCCAGAACTTTCTGAAACAAATAGCTAAGAACAGATATCTAGTTAGATATGTAGCTGTGTTACCAGATAACGCCTGGAGTTCTGTGGCCTCTAAAACTGTTTTGGGCAAAATCCTCTGAAGATGTTTTCCATAATTATCTCTGGATGCCTACCTTGTAAAGAGTATTTGAAGTCAACTCCCAGAAAACACATATATAATGTACGCACATTTACACACAATACACAGGGCAAATGAAGTATGTCTCATGACTTAGAAAAATTATGGATATTAACTATTCCATACACTGAAGAAAGTAGAAATTAAGCCCCTCAGGTCTCATAGTAAAGTGTCTAATATGAAGTAATTTCTGTGAGACGTATATACAGGATACTCTGATCTTCAGTAAGTGCTCCAAGAAGGGACAGAGAGGAAACATATTGCTCAGTCTGTAACCTGACAGATAATCTCCTTTACAACACATTGAAAAGTGGGAACTTTCTTTCTAAGCCTTGTAATAGCTCAAAGAGAGTATACAAGATCTTGCAAAAATATTTGGAAGATCATAAACAATTTCCAAGGTAGCCCAAGGTGCTTCTGAAAAACTTGCCATTTCTTTTATAGTTTCAGATTGTCGGGTGTAAGGTGCGCTGAAAAATCAAACTCTTACCTCTGTTACTCAAAATTCAGAACATGAACCCTGTCTACATGTACAGATGATCAATCCCACAAATGGAAGGTCATCTACACAAGCAAATATAATGCTGTCAAAGGAGAATAAAAACTTACCATCCTGGTTACATGAAAAGTTCTTAATTTGCTTGGAGTGGAGATGTTCCTCCTCCTCAGGGATAGTGGGGAGAGTTTCCATAGGTTGATGACCCTTGTAACTTTGGTACACTCCAAGAGAAGCATCCTCAAGGTACTCCTCCAAGGAGTAGGGGGTGGATCTTTTCTGCTCAAGCCAGTACAAATCAAGATCTGAAGATTCAGGTGAAGCAAGGTCTTGACAGGATGATGAAGAATGATAAGATTCCTCACTCTCCTGACTTGAAGTACTGTCATCATCAGAACCTACAGAGTAGCGTTCATAAAGCCCATCACTGTCTTCTAAATCCTCGTCTTTCCCATCAAATCCATTTTGATCTGCTTTGCTTCCCAGATTATTCAAAGAAGAAGATAAGGATTCTCCTGCTTGCTGGAGAGTCTCATAGACACGAGATATCCAGGAGGAAAAAGGCTGGAAGAAGCTTAGAACATCCTGTGAAGCCATGTTTTTATATATTTAATGAACAACAAATGTGATGGTCATAAATTCCAGCTGCTCATCTTTGCCAGTATATCAGATTCAGTGCTCTGTGAGCTACAGAATAAGCATTACAAGAGATTAGTTTGAATCACCTGTCCTTTTTAACAATGGTCTTTGTTAATCACTAAATCTAGCTAAGAAAGATAGAACCCAAAAAAGAGAAGAACATGGGCACTACTTGATTTTACCCACAAGCTTATCAAAGTGAAAGCAGAGAATGATTATGAAAAATGCTCATAACTATGTAATTGGAAAGGCCAAAATTAAATCTCATAGCACATATTTTTCATATGAAAGGTCCTAGATTCAAACCCTAGCAGATCCAGGAAGGGCTAACAAAATATCTTGATGGATTATTGCAAGTCTGTGTAGATAATATGGAGACAGGAGGCACTAATGGTCAGATTAATATAAGGCAGATTGATACCTTCCAAAGGTACTAGCACAACTAAATCAAAAATACTGGAATAAATCCTAAATACAGATCAATGGAACACTGAATAGTTTTGTATTGCTATTTCATAAACAAAATACCTACATCAGTGTATTTCTTAAAACACTGCAGGAAAAACAAAAGAAAACTTCTAAGCATCAAACTATTTCTTTCAATGCCTATCCTTATGGATACAACCTATTAAGTCACTCAAGCTGTCAACTGCTATTATGAATCCAGCTTGTTTGCAGCATTTGTACAGGGAAGTTATTTGCAGCCAAGAAAGAAACAGCTGAGATTATTTCCATGACAGCCCTCACACAGATGTAATTCAACTGACATTAAAAATTGACACTGAATGAGCTCATATTTTGTATTAAGCCATGATTTTATCTAATGATGGTTTATAAACCATAATGGCTGAATTCACATGATATATTTGTTTTTAGATGAAGATGTTTAGTACACTTTACTGTAAACTGGTAGGATGAAACTCACTAGTAGAATACAAAGACTGAAGAGTATAATTTATTGAAAAGAAACAGGCCAGACAAAAGGGAAGTGGGGAGGATTGGCATTATATGTGATCGAAATGCACGTATATATTAAGATCCAGTAATCTGAGTGCAATTTGAGGGTCCAGATAAGAGCATCTGGATAAGAATACAAGGAAGAGGAAACAACAAATATATTATTACGGGATATATTATAGATTGCTAAGCTAGACAAAAGATCTGGATAATGCCCTCCTTGACCAGAGACAACAATAATAACAGGAGCCCTCAACAACCTGGACCCCTCCTGGAAAACCAAGGATCCAAAGTCCCCCAAATGGTTTCTGACTGGTTCATTTTCTAGAAGATTCAAGAAAAGACAAAGGGATAAATTCTAGATCTGATCCTAACCATTAATCATGTCATCTTGGGGTTTAGGCATATTCATCCATGCATTCTACATTTCAGGAGATCAGTTTTAACCAGTTGAGAATACTAGGTACAAACCCATGCACAGAAATCCTCAGGTCAAATGAAAAGAGGAAAGTTGGGACTGGAAGTACAGTTGCACACAATTGATAAAATGGGGGCGGGGGGGAGGCAGCTTAGGAAGTTTAACAAGACACGTATGAATATGGGTATAATCCCCAAGGTGTATCAGCAAGTAGCTATTATCTGCAGAAAGAAAATTAGGAAAATTAAAGCACAAAAGGCTCACAGCTAGAAGCAACAAAAGAGGCTTTTTAGCTGTCAGTAGTAAAAGGAAGAAAAAGGAAGAGGTCCTAGGAGAAGATAGTAGGATAGTAATAACTGACAGAAAGGGGACAGAACTCCACAACTCCTACATTGCTTCAGTCTTCTTCTCAAAGGAGTGTACCTTAAATTCAGCAAAGAATTTGATCGCATTTCCTATGAGAATCTAGTATAGAAGATGCCAAAATGTGGGCTGGAGTATTCTACACAGCTGGTTACCCAACTATACTCAACGAGTGCACATCAATGGCTTCACAACAAGCTGAAAGGAAATGTTGAGTGGTCTACTGTAGGGCTCCATCCTAGATCCTGTGTTGTTCAAAATATCTATAAATGATTAGAATGAAGGCAGAATCATTGCTATAAATTTGTAGTCAACACAAAAATGCAGAATAGCAAATACCTGAGAAGAAAGTATCAAGATTCTGAAAGATCTTAACAAGCTGAAGCCATGGACACAAATCAGCAAGGTGAATGTCACCAGGAAAAAAATGCACAGTCATATATTTGGATAGGAAAAATCAAAGGCATGAGTAGAGGATGGGGAAAGATCCATACTGGGAAGCAGTGCATTCAAAAAAGGATCTGACTAACTTGGTGGATCCCAAATTGAAAATAAGCCAACATTGGGATGCAGCTTCAAACCAAAACCAATCCTAGACTTCATCAACAGAAATACAGAGCCAAGATCAGTAACAATTATTATTCATCTCTATCATGTGTTGGTAAGCCCATAGCTAAAATATTGCATCCAGTTCTGAGTGTCACATTTAGGAAGGAGACCGACGAACTGGAGCATGTCCAGAGGAAAGCAATCAATGTGATAAAGAGCCGGGGAGTAAAACACTATGAACTATTGGAGGCATTTCAGTATGTTTTAGCTCTGAGAAAAAATGTTGATAGCTGGCAGCATTTGAGGGCTTTCATGTAGATGAAGATGGGGAAGACCTCTTCAGAATTATTCTAAGACAGTAAATAATAGCTTTAAATTATAAAGAAGTAGATTTTGGTTGGATGTCAGGAAAAAATTGGTAAGAAGTATTTAACAACAAAACAGACTGCCCCAGGAGGTAACATGCACACCTTTTGCTGGAGGACGTAAGCAGAGGCTGGATGGCCATCTGTTGGCAATGGATTCCTGCACCAGGCAGGAACTGTATTAAATGATCTCCAAGGTCCTGTCCAGCTATTAGAGTCTATGATTGCATCCACGGAGAGCTACAGAGATGACCTTGAAGAAACTATTCAGCAACAATGATAAAAACACACTTTAAGTCCAGGAAATGAAGAAAGCATAAAAAGAGAAAATCAATCTGGTTCCATCCTATCTCCCTGGGGTGTAAGAGGGAGGGAATTACAAGAGCTTATAGCAATAAAGCATAGTTCTAGACAAACTTGTAGAGTCTGTTTCCTGACCTGGACTATCTCAAAGGGCCAACAGTATGTTGCATGAACCCGCTTGCTATGGTTTATGAATCATGCTCAAACAAACTGTGGCTAAACCAGTACATGAACCCAACCATTATGTCAACATTACATAACCAGAGCATTCAGCCCTAGTTTATGTTCTAGACTTTAGATCAGTGTTTCTCAACCTCGACAATTTTAAGACATGTGGACTTCAAATCCCAGAATTCCCTGGCCAGCATGCTGGCCGGGGAATTCTGGGAATTGAAGTCCACACATCTTCAAGTTGCCTAGGTTGAGAAAAACTGCTCTAGACAATGTCTGGGTTAGCTCACTGTGCTATGCCATTATGTGGGTATTCTTTTTGTCTTGAATATAAAACAGGAATGCCTCCATTATGATGCATTTGGTGCAAACTTAAGTAGCCTTTAAAAAAACCTTAGCACTGTTATGTATGAACCTAGCCTATGCATTCATGCTCTAGTCCTATGCAGGATTGCATTCTGCAGATCTCTGTAAATAGCAGGCTGCTTTGGGTGCAGAGCTTTGGAGCGTGCAGGAGTGCTCATCTTGCACATGTCAGCAATGGTAAAAGCAGTTGCAACTTTTCCCAAGATCACATGGCTGCCCTTGGCAGCTGCAACATGATGCCAGGAAAATACCCATTTGGTCTAAGGGTCTACCTCATGCAGTTGCCACATCAGACTCACAATCAGTTTTCATGAATAATATGTACCATTACCAAAGTCAAATATCCCCATCCTGTACCTGCATGATTGCTGGTTTGGTTTCCTCAGAGAAGCCATCTGCATTTGTCTCTGTTCAATTTCATTCTGTTACTTTCAGCCCATTTCTCTAACCTATCAAGATCACTTTGAATCTTATTTCTGTCCTCTAGGATATCAGCCATCCCATACAATTTTGTGACATATGATATGCATTCCTTCTACCTCTTCATCCAAGTCATTAATAAAAATACAGAAGAACAGAGTGCCTTTTCTTTGGCTACTAACAATTTAACATTCTACTTCACAAACAGTCAGAACAGGTACTAGCACCTAGCAACCTTGGCTGATTTCAAAAGCTACACAGAGTTAGGACTTGATTGGGAGACTAGTAGAAAATCCTAGGGGTTATAGGCTAGATTGGAAAGAAAAAAAATCCTGTAAGAAGACAGTAGCTAACCCCTTTCATAATGTTGCCCAAAAACCTACATGGACATGTCCATGTAGTCACCAGGAGTCAAGCTCAATGTGAGCATGCATTTACCTTACTTCTCAAATACAATCAGTTGCTATCTGAATGACCTGTAAAGTTTGAGCTTCTCTCTCTATTCATTTAATTGCTATTCATAATAATGGGAGCTGGCAAGGGATTCATGAGTTGATATCAAACACATCTGGAGGGCATCCATACCAGAAGCCAGCCAAAGTAATGGGGGAAATGGAACATGGCAAAATTAAAGTGGGGAAGTGGCTGCTCCCCAGAAATCATCCTGATTTTGATAGAAGATCCTCTCTGCTTTGGTTTTAGTGCATGGGCAGGGATGTGAACAAGTAAAATGTGTCTGCCCCATCACCTTTAGATCTTGCTAGACCTGACTCAGAATTTCAAAATTTTGAATCTACTTTCAAAATAACACAGCCCACCCACACCTAGTTTTTCAGCCAACTTTCCTTTTGCTGTGGTACATTAGTTGAAACCCAATTGGAGCTATGCTTTTCCCTGCCCCACCCCCAGCCAGAATAATCCACCTGCTTTCAAAACCTGTGGTTAGAATCAATACAAACCTTTCCATTATAAGTACTATATTTTCAAGCTTTTACTTGTCAATCACACAAGAATCGCTTTCAAATGCAAATCACTACAGCTTGGAAGCAAATGCTTCCCCCTCCTCCTTCCCACTTTACTTGATTTTAAAACTTCCCCTGTTTATTAATCATTCACTTTTTAAAAAGCTTCAGTAAATATATGTTTGCAAGATCATCTCTGGCAGCTCCAAAAAAATGTCAACACCCACATAAAGGGAAGGAGAGATGTTGTCATTTAAAAGGGCCCCTCCACTGCGCTATTTGTCAGGAGGAAGAAAGTTTTTACAATAATCACACAAAAGGAATTTTTTAACAGAAGAATATTGGTGTTTATGTTATGCTGGAAGTATGGCAGAGAACAAAATAAAAGGAGCAGAACACAAGTACTACAGAACTGGAAGGAAGTCTAACACTATGGGTGGTAAGGAGCAGGATCATCCCCCCCACACACACTTCTCAACATCTACACATTGACAATGCATGGAAGATGCCTCTTTCGCGCACTCTTTTAAAGGCATACACCCAGTTTTATATTTATCAGGCTTACATATGTTAGACTTTAAATATACTGTTTTCAGCACATGAATGCAAAGTAGATGATCTGCTTTGCAGAATCTGCTACAGTTCAAGCAATCCAACTACTCTTTCCAAAAGCAAGCTTCTATGTTCTTCTGAAAGCGTTTCCAATCAGGGAGAGTACAGAAAAAAATGGGCAAACCTTTCTGCTGCTGCTGCACACTGTCTCAGAAATCCAACTAACTATCGCTTTCCATTTTACTTTAACTATTATTAATAGACTCCTATCGTTGATCATTTAGAGCAAGCTAGTATCTTAAGCTTTGAAGCTGATTTCAGAACCTAGTTTGTGTCAAAGTTAGTAACAACCGCTTACTGGTTTGGATGCAATAGGAAACTATGGTTAATTGGGGTCTTCTAGGTTGCAATTGCCTCATACCATAAAAAGAAGACAGAAGGGTTATGCATTTGATCTATTATTTATTATTCATACTGCTCCTATCTTCCTGATTTTTCACAAACTGCTTAAGACCTGATTATCTTCCCAGGCCTTGAGCTAGGATGGGGGTTGACCTTTTGGTTGGCTTTCGGAGGCAGAGTTGGTTTCCGGTCACCTGTCTTCTTTTTCTTTTTGATATACTTTGTTTTCTTTTAATTTTCATCTGTAAGCACCCCAGAATTGCTAAGAGGTTGGGCGGCCTCAACACTGAAATAATAAATTAAAAAACCAAAGTATGTTTATTGGAACACAGATAATCCTAGATTCTTTTCCTACAGGCTCAAATATCTGGAAGCATGAGACTACATTCTGTAACGATACTACAAACAGCCAATTCACTGCAGCTACTTTTTCTCCATCACTACCTACATGGTAAGATTAAAAAAGACATCTGTTAATCATCTTCTTGTTGAAGCAGAGAAACAGACCCAACTAAATAAAAATTATTTTCCATTAGTTACCTGAAGAACACAAAGTTGGTACTTTTCATAATTCTTCCTGCTTGTCACTCAGAGGAAAACTAAAATGTTGTATTTTCCATATTCACTGGAATATCTAATCATGCGCATATGAACATATTTACATGACACTGACATGCTAAACTAAACCAGTCCTGTAGAGGTACCATATCTGAGCTGCAAAATTCAGACACTCGCTAGATGGCAACAAAGAGATATACAAAAAAAATCTACTCCTTTGCTGCCATTTACTGGTTGTCAGTCAAATTTCTGCAGCCCAATATGGTATCTCTATGCCATGTGAGTCACTACTGTCCCATGGGGCTTTTAAACCAGCCAGTGACTTCCTAAAGCTAAGTATTCATCCAAGTCCAGAGCAACCACCATTTCAGGATAGCACTAGTCAAAATCTGAAATCAACAATTAACCATGGTTTCAAATTCAGGAGTGAGCTAAGAACATTCATTCCCATTAACTGATCAGAAAAGCTAAGTATGCCATTACACACTTTATATCAGCAAAGGCCTTACATGTGTGAATGAATCACTTGACTTGTCTCACCGACTCATGTAATTCTTCTCTATACAGATACAGTTCACACATTTATCAACAGGCAAAAGTGTGCATAGGAATCAATATCTGAAAAGTTGTATACATGTGACCCAGCTATTACTCAGTTGATCTATTCTGAATCTGTTCCTTTAGACTCTAGGCCCCCAATTTCTTGTCCACAATTTTCTTGTCTTGTGTTGAGTTCACCCAACAACTGTCCTCTTAGCTAACTTTCTAAGCCACCACAATTATTTGCTACTTCTGCTGCTTTAGTTGGGAGAACTTTCTGGCAAATTGCAACCTGTAGCATTATTCATGCTCAGAAGGAGACATGGAATAATTAAAGCATCTGATAGTTAAGAATGTGGTATTAAGACTGAGGTGATCTAGACTCAAATTCATACTCAAGCCATAAAACTCACTTCTTAGCCTAATCTACTTTCACAGAATGATTGTGAGAATAGCATGTCAGGGGAAAAGAATCATGCACATATGAACTGAAGTTGAGACATAAGTGAAACAAATACATTTTCCATGTGCTTCACAAACAGTTCCTGCCTTTATCTTCTAGGTTTTATCATCCAAATAACTAAATCAGTGGTTCTCAACCGTGGCAATTCTAAGATGTGTGGGGATTCTGGGGAATTCTGTGAGTTGAAGTCCAAACATCTTAGAGTTGCCAAGGTTGAGAAACACTAAACCAAATAAATGTACTAGAATAAGCACCAACCCCAAAGACACTGGCTGTTTACAAGCAGACCAAACAGACTGGATTCATGGTGTTTTCTTTTTGATTTGATTGTGTTTCTTGTGAATCCCATCTTCCCTCTACTTTTTCACACTTTATGACAAATTTTTATCAAGTTAAGCATTAAATAGCCAACTTGCTTGTCCCCTCCTCATAATCCACAAGCAGACCAAGTGCCTCTTCCTTTTGTTTTTAGCTAGTATCTTTATGTTCTATTGGTCAGGGGTCAGCATTTCAAGTTTTTTTTTTTTAATGGTGAAAAAATGCTTTGTTGTACAATACTATGATGTCATAAGCAGCCAGTGAGGAAGCTCACTGTGGAAATATTTTAAGGAAATACTTTGTTGTGGGATTCTATGATGTCATAGGCATCCAGTGAGGAAGTTCTGCAAATGGGCAGAAAAAAAACAGATAAAAGTGTAAAAGTGTTGCAAGAATATAGTGAGTGTGCAGAAGAAAATTACACACACACACAATGTATATCCTTTGCATATATCCTAATCCAAAGGGAGCTGAATATCTATCACCAAGCAGAAAGCACACATAAAGAAAAATTACAAATCACCCAGGTGGCTCATGCCTTGTGTCCACAAGATATTCCTACAGGTTAAAAAGTAAAAGAGAGAAACTGCAATACGATATATGTTGTGATTTATTTTTGGAAAGAAAAAAAAATTGATTAAGATGCAAGCAAAAATAATGGGCTTAGGGAACATTAAGGCAGCTGTTCTGGCTAAGCTAAAGTTTTGCATGCAAACAATATCAAAACAAAAATAGGTTCTTAAAATCAACAAGATGATATTGTTCTTGCTGCTGCTGCTGTTGCCAGAATATTGCATATTACTTACCGAGACCCTCCCGAACCCCTGATTTTTCTTTGTAGTGCTTGCGCTTCCCTTGTTGCTCCAAGCAGGGGAGACCTCCGATCTTTTCAAAACAGAGCTTCTTGTTGATGAAGAGGGAGAGGACTGCAAGGAGAACTATAAAGACCCCAACAGCAGAGAGGAACCCAATTGCTTCAGGAGTAACTGGGAATAAAAGGAGAGAAAGCAAACAGAATGAATGGAGGTTGCACAGAAAATGGCAGAAATACATGACCCCCAAAGCTGCATTTGCTACATTATGAGCATGCAGAGACTGGGGGTGTTTACAGGGATTGTCAGGAAAGGAGAATGAGTATAGTGTAGCAGTTAAGATGTTGCCTTAGGAGCAAAAGTTCTAGTCCACCCTCAACCACAGAGGTTCAAGGGCGTGACTCTGGGTCTTCACTCTCTCTCAGGCTAACTCACCTCACAAAGTTGCTGTTATGGGAAAAAACAGGAGAGTGAGTGCTATAAGCTCCTAAATGAAACATAAGATATATAGCTAACAAATAAATAAATATTGCTTTGGCTTCATGACGAGAATACTCTCTTCTGCTGTCCCATCATAATTTGCAATGAACAATGAGAAATGGAGAATGCAACCTCTGAAAGTAGGCAGCCAGTGGGGCACAACTAGTGCAGTCTTCCCCAAAGTGATGGTGTCCAGGTGTTTTGAACTTCAGTTCCCATAACTCCACAGCTACTGGATATGGTAGCTGGGGAATTAGTGGAGCTTCAGGAGGGTGCACGTTGGAAAAGCTGGACTAGAATGTTAGATTTAAAAAGGCAAGCTCTGCTTGACTCCTGGAGACCTCATGGCTATATCCATGTTCTTTTGAGAGGCAGCAGTACAGAAATTGTTTGCCATTGTCTTTTTTTCAATTTCCCATCTTATTTCATAGCTTAGATTAAATCCGTTCAGTTACGTCACAGATTTAGCCATGTTAGACTAAACCAGGTTTAAATCTCCACTCAACTGGATTATTTTGATTTGGTCCAGGGATGACACATGTGGCTCTCTTCCTGCATTCCTCTTCACTGGCAGTGCTGATCTGGGCTGCTAAAAGTTGAACGATAGGTAGCCCCAGACAAGTATACAAGTTAGTTTTATTTTTCTAATCAGTGCACTGTTTCCATAGCAATCCTAAGATATTGCTCTGGCTTATGACCAAGAACCTTCACTCTATTTTCATAACAGGAAGGGCTGGGCAAGCTTCTGACAGAAATGTTTCACAACGTACATTAATGCAAACAAAGGATCTCACTTCAACACATCAAGCTGGTGGGTCTTTTGCAAGGTTCATGCTGTCTCCAGCCACCTGTGTACATACTGTATGTGTGTACATAGAGAGACAACACTTCCGTGGAGACTGTCAGTGAAGTAACATCACTGAGCACGGGCATTCATGTGGAGACTGTCAGGGACAATGTATGAGCAGCTACTGTCAACGCTACTACAAAGATAGCGATGCATTTGGGGAGCAGGTCCACCACGGCTTCCAGTCGAAAGAAATTTTAGAAGTAGCTAGCTACTGACAGATTTATACAGCCCCTGCCTTCTATACTGAAGGCCTGCAGAAAGTGCATCAGCATACTTGGTAGATCTCCAGAAGACTTGCGGTACGTCAGAAAGCATTTCTGACTCCCAATTGTTAAACGATATCAGCAACATCAACAACAAAAAATTACTGGCTCACACATTATACTAGACCACAATGCAAGTTTGGTTTTGTCTGTAATCCCTGAATACAGGCCTCCAAGGCGATCCAATATTACCTATACATTTTATACTGGGGAAAAGGATATAAACTTTAAATAGAACAAATAATGATTTGCACTCTGTTGGGAGACTAGGGGGCTTCCTTGTGCAGTTGGCTGGCTAGTATGAGAACAGACTGCTGGACTAGACGGCCAGGGGTATGATCCAGCAGGGCAGCATTTATGTTCTTGTTATAACACCAACCCCTTGCAAGATGAAGTGTCATATCAACTGAAAGTGCATGCTTTTAATTACAGCAATGCTGATCTCTTAGAGGAAAAGGAGTTTACTGATTTAATAAGGATAGAAATCAAATTGTCACATCTTAATCTCCATCTGCCCATCTTCTGTGCCTTTAATGACTTCATGACATACTGAAATACTGTTCATGTATGTATGCAGTGCAGGAAAATCTGCACCTAGTGAACTCTTGCTCACTATACAATACAGTACTGAAAAACTGAGAAACTGTATCAAGTGGTTTGGAGCGGGTGAGAAAATAAGAACTTAACTGTAAAAGTAAGTTTGCATTTCTTTCAACGAAGATTCAAAATCCTTTTTTGGGTCCATCAGCAAAATTCATTAGATGGCTGTGCAATTCAATCTCTGACTGGCGCAAAATAAGAACTGTAGAATAATATATGCAAAATGCAAAACAACGGAACCATCTTACTTTGCATGCCTTGCACTGGCTACAGAAATCAGCAAGTAGTCGTGTTCCAAGTGTGCAAGCCTACACTCAGCAAAAGAGATGCTCTCTAAGGCACGCAAGTTAAAAGTATCAATGACATTATCCAGACGCTGCATATCCCCAGCATTTGCTTTCTAAACAGAGCAGTTTCTTAGTATCACCAAATGAGAGAGGAGGATTCACTGCAAGGTGGCCTCTTAAACTGTTAATTCTCAGAGACAGCACTGTTCTCAGCAATTTCTTTAATTCTAATTTATTCCTGACATTTGGGTGGGAGGTGGGGCAGAGATAATAAGGAAGGAGTCACTGGTACTTTTCCAATTATAATTCTGCCACCTCCCAATCAGTAGTCCATCAACTGCCTCTGTTATACCATTTGTGCTAATTGAACTTCATTATACATTTGTAGCAATGTGTTGTTTTCCTACTGATTCCTGCGGCACCCTTTCTAACCAATGGCTAATTATACCACATGTACACGCACACATACACAGAGGACATCACACCAAGAGAGCTGGTGCGTGGGCAGAAACTCGGAGGAAAGCGGCATGTGGCAGACTTGTACAACATTACTATGGGCTCTGTATGAGCATTAGAAGATTACCTCCCACAAGAAGGCCCAAAGAACTTCACAAAAAGTATTTCCATGGTGCAGAAGAAAATCCAGGCAAGTTGTCTGCTAACGACAAATACAGTACTTTTCTTTTCTCACACTGTTTGGGTTCGCAAGGCTGGACCCTTTCCATAGCCTATCCCAATGCTTTCTTCAAAGGGGCAGCATTTTAGGAACACCCCCCGCCCAACATAGCCTTTGGGAAGAAACTTGCCAATATTTGGAGATAGTGCCTGGGGATGATGGGAACTGTAGTCCAACATCTCTCCTTGGAAAAGCCTGATCTAGGCCAAGTCACTGAAAATGGCCAAATAACTTTTTCTGAAAAAAAAAAAGAAAAACAGCAGGCTTTCCAAGTTGCTTTTGCATCTGGGTTCAAGCAACACAATTAGACTAAAACACAGCTGGTTAGTTGTTGCTCTGGGTACTATATGAATCCAAAGAGCATGGTTAGTTTACAGTTCACTATGTTGTCTAATACCAGACAATTGGATTAATTTAGTAAATGAAGAATTTTTAACTTGGGGGCGGGGGGAATTCTATGGTTACAGGCAATACTAATCTTTGCATTGTAAAGATTGAGGCTGCCCAAACATTGTGCCTCCCTATTTCTTGCAGAAGGACAATGCCTCATGAGAGGAGACCAACCTACCCAGAATGCCTATAGTAAGCACATAAGTGTAGCAACAAGACCCAGCATGATGCCTTCCTAGGAAGAAGACCAGGAAAAGCTAACTCTGGAATATGGGGGAGATAATAGTAAGCTACAGTGCCTCAATCCTGGCCAGGTTACTCTAGGAGGTACTCGAAAGTGGATTGTTGCAGGAGATGCTACTGCTGTAGGCACAAAGGCCATCAAAGGCTCTGGCCCAAGGAAAAGTGACCACAATCCAGTTTGGGTTCACTAGCTCTGAACATATACGTACAGTTGAACCATGCCTCTATTCCACCTGGACAAGCTGACAGAAGCCCTGTCAGAACATGGACTGACAGTGTCTTGGAAGGGAAGGTCATATAATTTCATGTTCTTTAAGGGATGGTGACACCACAAGGATTGAGTTCTTCAGTAAACCATGGTTCAGTTCACCATGGGGTTTAACATACAATCTGTGCATTGCACCTCCCAAAATTAAAATTGGGGAAGAGGTGAGTGGACAATCCCACCAATTTTTGCAACTTCCATGGTTGAGAGGAAGTTTTGGGCTTCTTATGCTAATCAGAGAGCAGCAGAATAAGCAAAAATATGAAAACCTGACTCTACCAACTGTCCAAAAAACTCCAATGTTCCTTTGATCAAATTATATTCACATGCTTCAACCCAGTCCTCTGCCACTATGAATTCAATATAAATTCTCTATACAAGCAACAAATATACAACTATATTTCAATAAGATGGGAAATCTACTTATGCAGGTTACTGATTGCACAGGGGGAGTTTGGCAAAATATAGTTATCCATGTACAGACTTTACTCAAACATTAATTCAAACATTTTGTGGTTAGGAGCTGGAAAAGGAAATACAATTCTATTTGTTCTCCTACTTACCCACCCACCCCATGTTCAAAGTAGTAAGTACAGGGGTCTTGGAGTGAACTGAGAAACTTGTGGCCTTCTAGATGCTGCTGAATCACTGTTCCCTGCAAGCATGGCCAACAGTGAAGATTCCTAGGACGTTGTGGATCAGCACCATCTGAAAGGCCACAAGTTCTCCGCCCTTATGGTAAGCATTTTGCACAGAGATTGCAATTCACTGATATGTACCAGTAGATTTCAACTTATTTTCTACCATCTCTGATACAGATCCCTGAAGTTCTAAATTCCCCCCGCCTGCACCTATTGGGATGCAGCAGCCTCTACTCAGAACCTCCATCCCTTCAACTTGCTTCTTTCTACCAGGTGCTGACACCCATTTTCAAGCTTATCTCTGTAGCAGGAAACACATAAGAAACTGTTTTTTGTGCAAACTCTGAAAACCTCAGAGGCTTATTAAAGCAAACTGAACAGCAGGCAGC